ATACTTTGACTTCTTCTTTACCTATTTGGATGCGCTTTATTTCTTTTCCTAGCCTAACTGCTCTGGTAAGGACCTCCAGCATAATGTTGAATAATAGTGGTGATAGAGGGCATCCTTGTCTGGTTGCTGTCCTCAAGGGGAGTGATTTCAAAGTCTCTTCATTTAGGATGATGTTGGCTGTTGGTTTTGTATAAATGCCCTTAATTATATTGAGGAATTTCCCTTCTGTTGCTGTTTTATTGAGAGTTTTTATCATGAATAGGTATTGGACTTTGTTGAATGCCTTTTCTGCATGGATTGATAGATCATGTGGTTCTTGTCTTTTGTTGTATTTATGTGATGGATTATGTTGATTGTTTTTCTAATGTTGAACCATCCCTGCATACCTGGTATAAATCCCACTTGGTTATGGTGAATTACTTTTTTGATATGTTGCTGAATTCTACTGGCTAAAATTTTGTTGAGGATTTTTGTGTCAGTGTTCATGAGAGATATCAGTCTGTAATGTTCTTTTTTTGTAGTGTCTTTACCTGGTTTTGGTATCAGGTTATGTTGGCTTTATAGAATGAGTTCGGGAGTATTCCATCCTTTTCTGTACTCTGAGATACCTTTCATAGAAGTGGTGTTTTCTTTGAAAGTTTGGTAGAATTCTCCAGTGAAGCCATCTGGGCCAGGGCTTTTTTTGTTGGCAGTTTTTTAATAACCTTTTTAATCTCTTCTTTTGTTATGGGTTTATTTAGTTGTTCTACCTCTGTTTGTGTTAACTTAGGTAGGTAGTGGGTTTCTAGAAATTTCTCCATTTCCTCTAGGTTTTCAAATTTGTCAGAGTACAATTTTTCATAGTAATCTGTTATGATTTTTTTAATTTCAGTTGGGTCTATTGTGATATCATCCATCTCATTTCTTATATGGGTTATCTGCTTCCTCTTCTGTTTTTCTTTTGTCAGTTTGGCCAATGGTTTATCAGTTTTGTTGATCTTTTTCAGAGAACCAGATTTTGGACTTGTTAACTCTTTCAATTGTTTTTCTGTTCTCTCTTTCATTTAATTCTGCTCTAATTCTTATTATTTCCTTCCTTCTGGCACCTGTGGGCTTCTTTTGCTGCTCACTTTCT